CCCCATAAATGGTTCTGTGGGGCGGAATGGGGGGTTCCTTGCCCCATAAGTGGGGTTCTGTGCCCCATAAGTGGGGGTTTGTGCCATATAAGGGGGGGGGTCTGTGCCCCATAAGTGGTTCTGTGGGGCGGGATGGGGGTTTCCATGCCCCATAAGTGGGGTTCTGTGCCCCATAAGGGGGGGGTCTGTGCCCCATAAATGGTTCTGTGGGGCGGAATGGGGGGTTCCTTGCCCCATAAGTGGGGTTCTGTGCCCCATAAGGGGGGGTCTGTGGGGCAGGATGGGGGGTTCCGTGCCCCATAAGTGGGGATCTGTGCCCCATAAGTGTGGGCCTGTGCCCCATAAGTGGTGGGGGGTTCCGTGCCCCATAAGTGGGGATCTGTGCCCCATAAGTGTGGGCCTGTGCCCCATAAGTGGTTCTGTGAGGCAGGATGGGGGGTTCCGTGCCCCATCAGTGGTGTTATGGGACAGAATTGGGGTTCCTTGTGCCCCATAAGTGGTTCCTGTGCCCCATAAGTGGTTCCACAGGGCAGGATGGGGGTCCCAGTGCCCCATAAGTGGTTCCTTGTGCCCCATAAGTGATTCCGTGGGGCAGGATGGGGGGTCCCTGTGCCCCATAAGTGGTTCCTTGTGACCTGTGAGGAGTGATATGGGACAAAATTGGGGTTCCTGTGCCCCGTAAGTGGTTCCTTGTGCCCCATAAGTGGTTCCGTGGGGCAGGGTGGGGGTCCCAGTGCCCCATAAGTGGTTCATGTGGGGCAGCCCCCCCTGACCCGACGCACCCCGGCCCCACAGATGCAGGTGGAGGATCTCCTGTCCACAGACAGCTGCGTGTGTCGCACCGACGACGGCCGCCTGGTGGAGGGTGAGTGTGGGAACGGCACCGCAACACCCCAAAAACAGCCCTACAACACCCCAAAAACAGCCCTATAACACCCCAAAAACAGCCCTATAACACCCCAAAAACACCCCAAAAACAGCCCTGCAGCACCCCAAAAACAGCCTGATAACAGCCCTGCAGCACCCCAAGAACACCCCAAAAACAGACCTACAGCACCCCAAAAACACCCCAAAAACAGCCCTGCAGCACCCCAAAAACACCCCGATAACAGCCCTGCAGCACCCCAATAACAGCCCTGCAGCACCCCAAAAACAGCCCAAAAACAGCCCTACAGCACCCCAATAACACCCCAAAAACAGTCCTGCAGCACCCCAAAAACAGCCCGATAACAACCCTACAGCACCCCAAAAACACCCCAAAAACAGCCCTGCAGCACCCCAAAAACACCCCAAAAACACCCCAAAAACAGCCCTACAGCACCCCAAAAACAGCCCGATAACAGCCCTACAGCACCCCAAAAACACCCCAAAAACAGCCCTACAGCAACCCAAAAACAACCTGATAACAGCCCTACATCACCCCAATAACACCCCAAAAACAGCCCTACAACACCCCAAAAACAGCCTGATAACAGCTCGATAATAGCCCTACAACACCCCAAAAACACCCTGATAACAGCCTGATAACAGCCCTACAGCACCCCAATAACACCCCAAAAACAGCCCTACAGCACCCCAAAAACACCCCGATAACAGCCCTACAACACCCCAAAAACAGCCCTGTAGCACCCCAAAAACAGCCAGAGAACACCCCAATAACACCCTGACAACACCCCAATAACAGCCCTATAACACCCCAATAACACCCCAAAAACAGCCCTACAACCCCTGGACTGACAACAGCCCAACCATTCCCTGATAACAGCCCAACACCTGGACTGATAACAGCCCAACACTTGTGACTGATAACAGCCCACATCTTCATTGATAACAGCCCCAATATTTGGACTGATAACAGCCTAACCATCCCCTGATAACAGCTCAACACTGTGACTGATAACAGCCCAACCCCTGGACTGATAACAGCCCAACACTGTGACTGATAACAGTCCAACACCTGGACTGATAACAGCCTAACCATCCCCTGGTAACAGCTCAACACTGTGACTGATAACAGCCCAACCCCTGGACTGATAACAGCCCAACACTGTGACTGATAACAGTCCAACACCTGGACTGATAACAGCTCAACACTGTGACTGATAACAGCCCAACCCCTGGACTGATAACAGCCTAACACTGTGACTGATAACAGTCCAACACCTGGACTGATAACAGCCTAACCATCCCCTGATAACAGCCCACATCTTGACTGATAACAGTCCAATAGTTGGACTGATAACAGCCCAACACTGTGACTGATAACAGTCCAACACCTGGACTGATAACATCCTAACCATCCCCTGATAACAGCCCACATCTTGACTGATAACAGTCCAATAGTTGGACTGATAACAGCTCAACACTGTGACTGATAACAGCCCAACCCCTGGACTGATAACAGCCCAACACTGTGATTGATAACAGTCCAACACCTGGACTGAAAACAGCCTAACCATCCCCTGATAACAGCTCAACACTGTGACTGATAACAGCCCAACCCCTGGACTGATAACAGCCCAACACTGTGACTGATAACAGCCCAACACCTGGACTGATAACAGCCCACATCTTCATTGATAACAGCCCAATAGTTGGACTGATAACAGCCCAACACTGTGACTGATAACAACCCAACCATCCCCTGATAACAGCCCAGCACACACCCAACACACCACCAAACCCACACTCAACAGAAACCC